TACCCGAAACCGACCCTAAACCAAACTACACCCACCCTAAACCAACCCAAAACCAACCTACAAACCAACCTTGAAACCGACCCTGCGCAACTCTTAAACCAACCCTACACCCGCCCTAAACCAACCCTAAACCAATCCTAAACCCACCCTAAACCTACCCTAAACCTACCCTCAGCCAACCTAAAACCACCCTAAACCCAACCTAAACCTACCCTAAACCAACCAAAATCCACCCACCGCAAACAAACCCAAAACCCTCCCTAAACCCACCCTAAACCCACCCTAAACAGACCCTAAACTAAACCTAAACCCACCCTAAACCAATCCTAAACCAACCCCAAACCCACCCGAAACCCCAAACCCACCCGAAACCCAACCAAAATTAACCGTAAACCAACCTTGAAACCAACCCTACACAACCTTAAGCCAACCCTAAACCCAGCCTAAACCAACCCTAAACCAACCCTAAACCTGCCCTAACCCTACCCTACACTTACCCCAAACCACCGTAAACTTAGCCTAAACCATCCCTTAACCCAACCCTAAACCAACCCTAAGCCACGTAAACCGGCACTAAACCCAGCCTAAGCCCACCCGAAAACTACACTAAACAGACCCAAAACCAACCTAAGCCAACCCTAAACCCGCCCTAAACCTGCCCGAAACCAACCCTAAATTATCCCTAAAAACCCTAAACAACTTTCAAGCCCCAAACCAAACCTAAACCCACCCTAAACCAAGCCTTACTGGGATAGGGTCGTACTTACGCTGGAGATATAAGTGACTTAGCACTTAGCTTGGACTTATAAGTAACTTATCTTGAACTTAGAAAAGAGGTTTTTCTAAGTCCGCTAAGTTCATTCTAAGTTCATTGAGTTGGCAAACACATGCGCTTTGAAGCATGGCAGTGATGAAGCATTACGCGCTGGAAAGCACACATTTTCGTGTGACTCAACGCAGCAGGGCAGGCGCGCGCGCATGCAGTTTACGCTGTTTGTTCGCGCTGCTTCGCACGCTTGGCTCGATGGAGCCGGAGCATTTTGCACTGATTGACTCGGTTGAACTTGGTTGTGCGATAATCGTTTCTATAGCGGTGTCTCCGCTGGCAGCCGGTCCGCCTTAATATAGTCGCATGGGGCGGTTTCTCCGCCGGCGGCCGGTCCGCCCGTTTTGCTTTTCTCGTTTGATGATATATCATTGTAGCGGTGGTTCCGCTGGCGGCCGGTCCGCCAAGCTATTTTTGCCACATTCATTTTCATTTCGAGATGGCGCTTGAAGCTGTTGTCCGCTGGCGGCTGGTTCGCCCAGATTTTTTCGGCGTTGATTTTTATTTCGAGATGCCATCTGAAGCGGTGGTCTGATGGCACTTTGCGATTTTTTGCATGTTTGGATTGTGAGTGCGCGGATGAAAGGCTACAAGACTCAATCAAGGCTCCAGAATCCAGACTGCTGACTGCAAACTCCACACTCCAGACTGCAGACTCCAGACTGCAGACTCCAAACTGCAGACTCCAGACTGCAGACTCCAGACTGCAGACTGCAGACTCCAGACTGCAGACTCCAGACTGCAAACTCCAGACTCCCGATGCAGACTCCAGACTCCAGACTGCCAACTCCAGAATCAAGACTGCAGACTCCAGGCTCCAGAATGCAAACTCCACAGACAGACTGCAGACTCCAGACTCCAGACTTCAGACTGCAGACTCCAGACTCCAGACTGCAGACTCCAGGCTGCAGACTCCAGACTGCAGTCCAGAATCCAGACTCCTGACTCCAGAATTCACAGTCCAGACCCCAGAATCCAGCATCCAGACAGCCCCGCCCCAAAGCCCGGAAAGGCCGGTGCAGTTTTTTCGAACTTAACAAAACTTAACTTAACTGGAGCCGTGGAGTCCCTATTGTAACTCAATCAACTTAACTGCCAAACTTTCCCCGTGAGGCCCAGTTGCGTCACCACGACTTAACATAACTTAACTTGGCCCCGTGGCCGAATTCCACCACAAACTGATCAGGATCCTGGAGCCAGGAGTCATTGTGTCTGGAATCTGGAATCTCGAGTCTGCAGTCTGGATTCTGGAGTTGGCAGTCTGGACTCTGCAGTCTGGAGTCTGCAGTCTGGAGTCTGCAGTCTGGAGTTTGCAGTCTGGAGTCTGGAGTTTGCAGTCTGGAGTTTGCAGTTTGGAGTCTGCAGTCTGGAGTCTGCAGTCCGGAGTGTGGAGTTTGCAGTCAGCAGTCTGGATTCTGGAGCCTTGATTGAGTCTTGCAGCCTTTCACCCGCGCACTCACAATCCAAACATGCAAAAAATCGCAAGGTGCCATCAGACCACCGCTTCAAGTGCCATCTCGAAAAAAAATCACGCCGAACAATTCCTGGGCGGACCAGCCGCCAGCGGACAACCGCTTCAAGTGCCATCTCGAAATGAAAATGAACGTGGCAAAAAAAGCTTGGCGGACCGGCCGCCAGCGGAACCACCGCTACAATGATATATCATCAAACGAGAAAAGCAAAATGGGCGGACCGGCCGCCGGCGGAGAAACCACCCCATGCGACTATATGAAGGCGGACCGGCCGCCAGCGGAGACACCGCTATAGAAACGATTATTGGACAACAAAATTAAACCGAGTCAATCAGTGCAAAAAATGCTCCGGCTCCATCGAGCCAAGCGTGCGAAGCAGCGCGAACAAACAGCGTAAACTGCATGCGCGATGGCTCACTGCGCGGTCCTGCCGCGATGGCTCACTGCGCGGTCCTGCCGCGATGGTCGCTGCGCGGTCCTGCCGCGATGGTCGTTGCGCGGTCCTGCCGCGATGGTCGCTGCGCGGTCCTGCCGCGATGGTCGCTGCGCGGTCCGGCCGCGATGGTCGCTGCGCGGTCCTGCCGCGATGGCTCGCTGCGCGGTCCGGCCGCGATGGTCGCTGCGCGGTCCTGCCGCGATGTGTTTTCCAAACATGGAAGCGGCCCCGCCGCCGCTACGCCGTGTTCCGCCAGCCGGGAGCGACCGCATGCACGTCTCGAAAAGTGATGCGCGCGCGCGTAGTCCGGTGTCAGGCTTTCTCTCTCGTTCAGCGATGTGGTCCGCAACATGTCAGGGGTAGCGCGCGCGTGCTTTTTCGCGCGCAGGCAGACACGTAGACTCAGCGAGGTAGACGCGTTTGGGACATTGCTTCGCAAGCGCTGAATGACCGAAGGCTGTTTTCCTCAAATGGTGCTAAAAAGCTAAGTCCCAGCTAAGTTCATTCTAAGTCCCGGCACCCGGAACTTAGCTCGAACTCATAAGTGGGCCTATCTAAGTTAAACATAGACAAGTAACTTATAACTATCCTCGGACTTAGCAAACTTATAAGTCCACTTGTCCCACGTTATAAGTCCACTTGTAGTAACTTATAACTCAAGTTATAAGTACGACCCTATCCCAGTACTGGAACGTGAATGCCACCGCCCAAGCAATCTTCCTCGCCCAAGACCACATCGTCTTGTTTCACCTCCAACTCGGTGTGCACAATGCTCCGAATGTTGGTGTTTTTCATCACCCAACCCTGCATATACTCCTTGAATGCGCGGCAGGACACACCACAGTCGGTCTCATCCACATCAAAGCGACTGATGAACTTGCACCGTCGCTCAGACCGCACCAAGAATGACACGGATACAACCATTGCTAAAAGTCTAGCTTACTGAACCTTGATGTGAGCAACAAATTCTACACATAAAATTGTGATTGTCTCAAGCTCTCACGCGAACCACTTGCTCCACAGCTTCAGCAAAACAAGCCAGAGGCACCTTATAAATACTGTTCATCTTCTCCACAAAGCCGGTGCGAGCGGACGGGCAACGGTGTCCCCAGAAACCCCGGAAAGAAACAACCCCATAAACCTTACAATAAAAGCATTGTAAGGTTTATGTCATATTTTTTCTAGCAGAGACATCTTTCCCATCTTGTTTGGGGGATAAAATTATTGTATAATTTTATTCCCAGCCAATGATGAAAAATTATGTGATGGCTTGCTGTGATGAAACTTGTACGGTGAAAAATATTTAATAATGTTGTGGCTTGCTGTTTGAAAGTAGAGTTGATGTGGTTGATTGTGATGAAAAATATGTAGTAAAGTATGATGTTGGCCGGCGGGGGGGTATTAAAAAGACGGGAAAGTTGTGCTCTAACTGCCGGACTCGGCGATCCACGTGACATGATGCCCATGACGTGTGTGACTTGCGGGAAATGGTGCAAAGATAGAGCAGACTCTTATGTCCACACGGAGGAGGGGCGGTGGTGCCATTCTTTGGCTTGATTGCGAAAGTTTGTGAGCATTCCTCTCAATCATTTGCCCTGCAGGAGACAGGGCATGGGCAGTTCAGAGGGGACGCTTTTGATGGACTGGCAACATGACCATTATGACATACACATGGCAGTGTTTTGTCGTCTTGTGGTATGTGCTTGACCTTTCTCAAGTTCTGCACTGTCAAAGGCCGGACTCGACGACGGCCAGGTGCACAACATGGCTGCACGTTTGGCAGCGGTAGCTGCAGGCGGTGGCAACACGCAGGAAGAGATCCAGAGGATGTTGGCAACGGAGAGGAACCCTGCAGCGAAGCACGTGCTGGGCATGCTTAGCAGTCAGAGCCCTCTACTTCAACTTGGCACGCAGGACATGTTTCTGTTGCCTAGCCTCAGGAAGAGACAAACAAGGCACTGATCAGTCTGACTTCCGTTGGCCTGTTTGATATGTGCATTGTTGCAAACGGGTGCAGCATATTATGCAAAAGGCACAGCAGGGCGCAAGTCACAGCCGGAGCATTGTTGGCTGACAATCTTGGAAGTGAGCTTGGGTAGCCGAACATGCCTGGAATTGCTGCTACCAACCATGCCTTGGGGGATCCTGGGGGGCTGCGCTTGGCCCTGCTGTCGCCCGGCAGGATCCTGCGTCGCAGCAGCAAGTTGAAGAGGCCTTTGCAGTTGGACCAAAAGTCGTGGAGGAAGATGATGAACTCGAGGAGGCCATGCGTTTGAGCCTGCGCCTGGCTTGTCGCGCCAAGCTCCTTCGGAAGGAGGTAGACGCAATTGACTTGGATTACCTGCAGCGTTGCACGGAGAACTTCGCAGAGCATCGACTGCTGGGGGAGGGAGGCCACGGCAAGGTCTACAAGGCAGTTGACAAAGACGAGCACCTCGAGTTTGCCGCCAAGTGCTTGGTGTGCGAGAATGAGGAAGAGCGCCAAATGATGAACCGCATGACGGAGGCAGAGATCACCACACTCACTGCCTTCACACACCCGAACATCATCCGCTTGCTCGGCTACTGCAAGACCGAGGACACTGCGGTTTGCTCTACGAGTACCAGCCCGGAGGAAGTGTGGAGACCCATTTGGACGAAAAGGAGCGCGCAGAAGATCTCACCTGGACATTGCGAGCCAATATAGTGAAGGGCTTGGTGGATGCCATCCACCACTTGCACCGCCACGATCCTGCAGGGCCATGCTATCATCGCGATGTGAAACCGGGCAACATAGTGCTGACTGCTGACGGAGATCCCAAGCTGATCGACTGTGGCCTTGCGAGGCTGGCGCAGGCTGACGTGCCCGGCAGCAAGACGCGCTTCTTCCGGGATACCGGCGGTCCACTGGGAACTCCTGGATTCAAGTGCCCGAAGTTCGAAAGAACAGGCAAGTTCGAGGAGAAGAGTGAGGTCTACTCCATTGGCATCACCATCCTTCAGAGACTTAGCTCTCCAAGTCTTTTGGAACTTTCTGCCAGGCCACAGGCACGAGTCTGCAACCCAACAGCCAACAAACCGTGTCTGCTACTAGTACCAAGGATTGTCACCGGAATTCAGGACTTCGGAGACGACAACTTGGAAGAGCTGGTCGTGAATCCACGCCCCTCTAGCATCATTGAGATGCGAGACCAGCGACCTCCATTTGAGGACGAGAGCGACAACAACATCATCCATATTCTGGCCAACATGGTTGAGCAGCTAGCACGCATGGGGTCTGCAACGATTTGTCTTTGCATCCTTACCATGCTGCTATATTATGATTCGAAGGAGCAGTTGTTGCTGGGGCTTTGGCGCCGAAAAATAGTAAGAGGTGGCGGCTTGTGCGTCTCGCTCTTGGGAGTCAGCTAGAGATGCCGCGCTGAGGCAAGGCATCGCCACCCATGCCTTGCGATGCAGCTTGCAGACTCTCTGCGAGCATGCGGCCTTGCTGAACTCGAGGCCTGCTTGTGGTGCAAGATGTTGCACGCATGTGGCAAGCACTCCGGGTGTGCCATGGGGCAACCAGCCAAGTGTGTGGCAAGGGAGTGACGCCTCTTGGGTTCTGACATGTTTTGATTTTCTCAGTTCCAGCTACATGAATCAAAGCAATCCTGCTTCCTTTGAGTTTCCTCAGATGTCGATGGGTTTACAGCAGTTGTGCTTAGTGAAGGTTGCCATATTGCTATTGGGCTCGCAGCTTATAAAGTGATAATTAATATCCTTGCTTTGATTCACTTCCGTCATTTTGCAACCGAGGCAAGTGAATTGAACCCCGATGCTTAGGTCTCTTGGATTATTTGCTGCCGCTTGGAATCGCTCGCTGCCCGGTTTTGACATAGCTAGTTGTGTTTGTGTGTGTGCCATGCCATGTGTGTGCCACGTGCTGCCATTTGCTGCCACTTGCTGCACATTGTTCTTTGTGCTTCCCATCGATGCAAATGGCCCCGGTGACCCACATATTCCAAGCGGCAGTTTGTGGTTCAGGCATGATGCAGAGGTGATTATTCTGTTCTCAAACGACCTAGGTGACCCAAGCGGCACTCCTCGGTTTGTAATCTCCGCAAATGGTCCAAGCGACCCAAGTGGCAGAAGTAAATCCCCTGTCATGACAAGCAAGACCACAGCAACATTTGATTTCCACATCGACACATTCAGGGCCACTGGTCATTGCCATCGATAATCGCCTGGTTTCTCCTTGCATTATCCACATGGCCACATCCGCAAATGAAATTGTTGTCTGTACATTGCCGGCCTGTCGCGCTGGGGCCCATGAGATCGGCGTGGCGAGGGTGCCCGAGTGTGAGCCACGTGTAGTGGACTGTTATTGCGCCGTTTACACACAATTTCCTTTGCGTACGCCGAAACCTTGAGCAACGCCTCTCCCTGCCACACGCCACCAGTGCTTGGTCTAATCTCAAAACTCCAAAGATCCACAATCTACTTGAGCTTGTCAGACTACCCAGATGCTTCGCTACCTGCGTGGCAAAGTCATGGCGAGCTAGGCAGGACAGAGCCTTGACACTTTCACTTTCTGGACAGCACCCAGTCGGCGCTTAAAGTATCTTAACGCTGAAGCGTTTGTAGCCGTTGAACACCTTGAACAAAGTGTGGCAACATCAAGCCGCGCTTTCCTTCCCTGCTGTGCCATTGTTTATGCCTTGGTCTCCGTAATATTTGTGAGACTAAGACCTCATTGCCTCGCAGACCGACCTACTCTTTCCTTGCAGCCGCTGTAGTTAGAGGACAAGACCTGTCTCGGGCACACTCCACATCCTCGCCTTGGCTTTCACTCTGAGACCTGCGACTGACAAGCACTGTTCCCAGTTCCGGTTTGCTAATGTTTCCTGGATGCCCAGCATGCCCTTGATGATAGCCTCAACATAGTATGATGGTTTCACCATTTCATTTCTTGGTATACGGGGAATGACATGGAATATGCTAACCAGACTACCACGAGTATATAAATGGGGTACACTGACCCAAACCGATGGCAGGAGAGAATATAAAGCGTATTGACCGCACACCAGATTCAATAATCAGTTTGTGGAGCTTGCCTTGTTGATTGAAGTCTTGACCAGGATTATTTGTGATTTACACGCTGACGCGACACAGCCGGCCACCGGGCACCTTGCCCTGCCCGTTCTGTCACTTCCCTTTCCGGTAAGTCCGATGAGTAGATGTTAAGATTAAAAAATTCTAAACACTTTGAGATTCTAAGGGTCTCAGATTTGAAGACTTTTGGAATTTAAGGCTTCAATGGTTTAAGAATTAAGGTTTTAAGATTCAAAGACTTAAGGTGTTTGAAGGTTATAACAGCCAGGCCATTGCCCAGCCATTTTCCATCCATTATCAGATTTCGAAGGCTTTAAGATTTCATTTTTGGCGAGATTTTCAGATTTGGCGACTTTCGGAATTTAAGATTTTAAGATCTTAAGATGTCAAGACTTCAAAATTTGAAGATTAAGAGTTTAAGGAATTTCCAATGTAGCCCGGATTGAAGGAATTTGATTATATTTTACTTGTTTATGAATTTAAGATTTTCAGATTGCAATAGTTCGAGATTTAAAGAACTTAAGTTTTTGAAGCTTTTAAGATTCTGAGATTTTAAGATTTTGAGAATTTCGGAATTTCATATTTTAAGATTTTAACATCTGAAGATTCAACGACATGAGGGTTTTAAGAAGTCAAGATTCGAAGACTTGAGGATGTTTGTATTTTCAGGTTGTAAGATTCTATCTTCTAAGGTTGTAATTTTAAGATCTTAAGGTTTCAAGATTTCAAAAATTCAAGATTAAGAGTTTAAGGAAGTTAAAATATAGCCCGGATTGAAGGAAGGTAATATTTTAATAACTTAAGATTTTCAGATTTCAGTTGTTCGAGGTTTCAAGAATTTAAGTTTTTGAAGCTTTTGAAGATTCTGAGATTTGAAGATTGTAAGACTTTAGGAATTTCATATTTTAAGAGTTTAAGATCTCAAGATTCTAAAACATAAGGTTTTTAAGGTTTCAATATTCGAAGACTTTAGGAAGTTTTTATATTTTCAGATTTTAAGATTCTAAGTTCTAAGATTTTAAGATCTTGAGATTCTAAGATTGATTGTTAGATTTTAATTTAAGATTTTAAGAATCTAAGACTTTAGGATTTTGAGATTTCAATCCAGGCCATGTTCCATCCACTTTAGATTTTAAGATTTTCAGGTTGCACGTTTTCGGCAAAATTGGCGCGACTTAGGGGACAACAGCATCCCCCGCATCGCCAGCATGCATAACATCATCCGCATCATCCAGGGTGATGCTGGCAATGCTGGGGGTGTTGTCCAGTATTAGGCACCCCCCTAAAAATGCTCGTTTTTGGACTCGTTTTTGGGCGCTGCGGAGAGATGCTACAAAAATCCTCGAAAATTGCCTAAACCAATCCGCGAATCCTTCGCCCCTTATAAGGGCATGCCCAGCACAAAACGTATGCGCATGGTCCGCGCATGGTCGGCGGCATGGGGCGCGCGGCCTTATACCTGAAGGTAAGCCCTAACGGGCTTTGGCCTGCGGCCCGATCACGTCCGGTGGCCGGACTTATTTAGCAGGCTGACGCCTGATGCCGCCGACCCCCAATGGATTGCTAGGGCAATTCGCAAGCGGGCGTAACGTCACTTTTGATTTCTTTTTTCATGATGACGACGGTCACCAGATGATGATGAGGATGAGGATGAGGATGCTGATGCTGGATGATGCTTTTTTCCGTGAGAAGGCGGGTTACGAGGCGCGAGGTGGACCCTTAATTTCGCGAGGTAGCTTGCTTGTTTTTTGAAAAAATCGAACACAAAGAGAGGAAAAAAGAAGACAGAAGTAACTCGAAGGTGTAATAGAAGATGGAGTGGGTCTCCTCGAAATATTGGATCACAGAAAAGTGTACCAGAATGAAGATCACCCAACATAAAAACAAGTGTACCAGATAAGATAGGCAACGAAAGCCGTAAGCAAGAAAGAGAAAGGAAAGCATGGGATGGTCTGCAATATAAGATAAAAAGATCTCAGGGGTGAAAAGTCCGAGGCTCAGGTCGGAGGTTGAGAGCAACTTTCGAAGACAAAGAAGGCAGCCCAGGCACTTGCAGGATGATGCTGGTGAAGCTGGGGATGCAAAAGCTGCCTTTTTTCCCGGGTGTCCAAGACCAAAAAGGCAGCTCCCGCATCCCCAGCATGCAAAGCATCACCTCAGGCACCTGCAGGAAAATGCTGGTGAAGCTGGGGATGCAAAAGCTGCCTTTTTTCCCGGGTCTCCAAGACCAGAAAGGCAGCCCCCGCATCCCCAGCATGCAAAGCATCACCCCAGGCACCTGCATGATGATGCTGGTGAAGCTGGGGATGCAAAAGCTGCCTTTTTTCCCGGGTTTTGCAAGACCAAAAAGGCAGCCCCCGCATCCCCAGCATGCAAAGCATCATTCCAGGCACCTGCAGGATGATGCTGGTGAAGCTGGGGATGCAAAAGAAAAGCTGCCTTGTTTCCGTGAAAAGGCTTACAAAAAAGGCATCATCCATTATCATCACATCATCATCACATCATCATCCATCATCATCAGCGTCATCATCCTCAGCATCATCATCATCATTCTTATCACCCCGAGGATGATGATGCTGATGGATAATGAATGATGATGATGATGATGATGCTGGATGACGACGATGATGGTGATGCTGATGTGGGTGATGGGGATGATGATGATGATGATACTGATGCTGATGATGATGATCTTCCCGTAGTCTTCCCGTAGTCTTCCGTCAGCTTCCCATAGTCTTCCGTCATCTTCCCGTAGTCTTCCGTCATCTTCCCATAGTCTTCCGTCATCTTCCCATAGCCTTCCGTCAGCTTCCCGTCATCTTCCCAGAGTCTTCCGTCATTCTCGTGTTGTCTTCCGTCAACTTCCCGTAGTCTTCCGTCATCTTCCCGCAGTCTTCCGTCATCTTCCCGTCAGCTTCCCGTAGTCTTCCGTCATTTTCCCGTAGTCTTCCGTCAGCTTCCCATAGTCGTCATCTCCGTCGTCTTCCCGCACTCTTCCATCATCTTCCCATCAGCTTCCCGTCGTCTTCCGTCAGCTTCCCGTAGTCTTTCCGTCAGCTTCCCAATGTCTTCCGTCATCTTCCCGTAGTCTTTCATCACCATCATCCATCCTCACGGTTAGAGGCCCCGGTCAGAGGTCCGGGGGGTTAGAGGTTAGGGTTAGAGGTTTGGGATAGAGGTTAGGGTTACTCGTCAATTCCCGTAGTCTTCCGTCATCTTCCCGTAGTCTTCCGTCATCTTCCCGTAGTCTTCTGTCATCTTCCCGTAGTCTTCCGTCGTCTTCCCGTGGTCTTCCGTCATTTTCCCGTCATCTTCCCGTAGCCTCCCGTCATCTTCCCGTAGTCTTCCGTCAGCCTCCCGTCATCTTCCCGTAGTCTTCCGTCGTTTTCGTGTAGTCCTCCGTCGTCTTCCCGTAGTCTTCCGTCATCTTCCCGCAGTCTTCCGTCATCTTCCCGTCATCTTCCCGTATTGTCTCCCGCAGTCTTCCGTCAGCTTCCCGTGTAGTCTTCCGTCATCTTCCGTCATCTTCCCGTCAGCTTCGTAGTGTCTACGGTCATCTTCCTGTAGTCTTCGTCATCTTCCCGTAGTCTTCCGTCATCTTCCCGTAGTCTTCTGGCAGCTTCCCGTCATCTTCCCGTAGTCTTCCGTCATCTTCGTGTAATCTTCCGTCATCTTCCCGTAGTCTTCCGTCATCTTCCCAGTCAGCGTCCCGTAGTCTTCCGTCATCTTCCCGTAGTCTTCCGTCAGCTTCCCATAGTCTTCCGTCATCATCCCGTAGTCTTTCATCATCATCATCCATTCTCACGGTTAGAGGTTAAGGTTAGAGGTTATGGTTAGAGGTTAGGGTTAGAGGCTAGAGGTTGAGGTTAGGGTTAGAGGTTAGAGGTTAGAGGTAAGGGTTAGAGGTTAGGGTTAGAGGTTAGAGTTAGAGGTTAGGGTTAGAGGTTAGAGGTTAGGGTTAGGTTAGAGGTTAGGGTTAGAGGTTAGGCGTGTCAAAAATCCGCCGCGGGACCCCCCCTCCCCCCCTCAGACTCCCCCTAACCACCACTTAGAACACGCCTCGCCCCTTTGCAGAGACTAACTTGGCTTTTGCAAAGGGGTCGGCGGATTTCGAGGAGAGAGAGTTTGTGTGGTGTGGGTTGTATGCAGATCATCTACAATGACATCGAAACTTGAGCCGTGCTTGAGCCGGTGTGATGATTTGAAGGTGTGGGACCAGGAGCTTTATGCTAGTAGGCCGACCCAGGTTGCGGGGCGATGCCAGGCAACTGAATTTTACTGGCAATTAAGGTAGGTCCGGAGTCTCATTGCAGCCCGGGACCAGGCCTGCTTTCCAGTCAAATTCGGATGAAGGAAGAAAGCGCAACACAGCCCAGCAACAAAGGCCTGACTTGGCAATGGCTCCTGACAAGTGCTTCCTTCATCCTTGCTTTGCGACAAGCAATTCTCGAGCCTGGGTTGCCTTTCCTCTCCTGACAGGAGTTTTCAGAGTCCAGACAATGGCTGGCAAAGCCAGAGACATGTCAGGATTGGTTACTGTCTCAAGAACCAAGAGGGTTGTGCAGTTTGGCTTATGCAACGGTTTGCCATTCATTGCGCAGCTGTCGCTGGTGAAAAAAATATTAGGTCATGGTCGATGCACAGTGCGTTGCGCTTGGTTTTTCCCACCTTGCCAAACATGGCCTTGATGCGCGCTGCAGCCATGCTCTGGCACGTCTTGAACGCGGCCTTTTCCCATTCCAAGCTCTTTTTTGCGCTACTGCAGGATACTCTGCTTGTTTTGCAAAGATCTCTAGCACAGTCGTAAACCGTGGTATTTTGCAGAATCAACATGCGCAGTCTTGTTGCTCCTTAACCTTGCAGGACTGAGATGTCCATAGTTTGCATTGCCTGTGGGCACGAATGTGTCGATGAATCGGAGACGGACAAGCATCATGAGGAGCGAATCGATTTTTCACTATGCCAGCAGAGGATACTGTCTGCATACTCATCCGAGCAACAAAATACAAATGCCCAGCACCTGTTCTGGGCTGCATTTGAGGAGACCGGGCATCATGCTTTCAGGCAGCGCGTTGCTGAGGGCTACGACGACCGGGCTCCGAGGCGTATGACTTGCGCCACCTGCAATTTCCGCTGCAACAACCGCGCTGAGTCATGGCGCCACACCCAGGAGAGCATACACTGGTGACTTGTGTTGTTTAGCAGGCTTGTCAGTGTTCATAGAGCCACATGCATGGCATATGCAACTGTTGCATACGTTGTGTAATGTGCCCAAGCTGAAGACTGAAAATTGCCCAAATGCGTTTCATGATGACTTTGTGCTTATTTACTTCACGGCAATCGCTTGATCCATGAGCCAGTGAGGAGACTGGGCACAGCCGCTTCCAGAGTGGTGAGGGCTCAGACGACCGGACTCCATGCTCGATGACCTGCAGAACTTGTCGGCATGTATGCGCCAATCGAGCTGAGTCATGGGAACACACTGAGGCGGCGCAGACGTGTTGCATACTGAGCGTTTAGAGAGGATTGTCCAGGTAGCAAAATTTGCTGACTCAATGCTTAGGCCATGTTGTTGGGGATGTTGGAATACAAATGGCGAGTGGCACTTTGCGCAGGCAACCGGGCATACGAGTTTCCAACATACCGTTAGAGTCCGGGCTTCTGGTAATGCATCTCATCACGCAATTCGGCAATGCGTGTGGATTAGGCAACAGCACTTGCAGGAATGACCGCACTGCCCGTGGCGTTGTCAGCTTCTAAGGACACTGCAGAAGAGGAAGACTCTCAGGTACAAAAGGCTATCTTCGAAAGCCTGCTACCTGACAAGTCCCATGAGCCAGCCCCAAATCTCCGAAGATCTGACGGCGCTGTTGAGCAGGTCAAGCTCCAGTACATTTTGAGCTGCGCAAGTGATTGGAAAGGCAAACTTTCGAGCGGTCCTCAATCTTTTGGTGATCTATACCAGGCTGCAGATGGGGATTTGACGTTTACGGTGTTGCGCGTGCAAGGCAGCAAGATCGTGAAGAACATGTCTCCACCTGCAATAGAAGACCTAAATAAGATTGCTCACAACAACATTGCCATGTTACAGGGCTACTTCTTGTCCCCTGACCTTTCAACTGCCATGTTCATCTATCACAGCGAAAACGACGGCACTTTGAAGCAGCATTTGAACGATGACAAGCTTGCAGAAATGCTAAGTTGGCCATCAAGGGTCACGATCGCCAACGGTATAGTGACCGCGATTGATTATTTGCACAGCCTTGATCCTCCCTGCTTCCATCGGAGCGTGAAGCCTGGAAATATCCTGCTTGATGCAGAGCGGCAGCCAAAACTCATTGCCTGTGGCTTGTCTCGCTTCGTGCAGTGCTCCAGCCCCAAGAGGAAGAGTGCGTTGCATGTCTCGCAGATTCTATTTGGAGATCAAGGCTTCATGTGCCCCAACTATTGTAAGACGTGCAACTTCGAGAAGGCCAGCGAGATCTTTTCCGTAGGAGCAACCATCTTGCAGAAACCTGGCAGCCATCAGCCCAAGCCTGCCCCCCACGTACTTTGTAGGGATCACACCACTTGTTACTTGAAAGCGCTGGTGCTGGTGTCGCTTGCTTCGATTGGCTTTGAGATGCTTTGAGTGTGCTGGCCATGGGCGAATGCTTGTCAAAGCATTTGTGACGCGTGTCTTGCGCTTAGGATTGTTGCTGGACAGACTCGCTTTGACAGCGCCCCGCTGAGTGAATTGCCAGATGATCTCAAGATGGCTGACGTTGAGAAGCTTCACGACAAACGGCCGCCTTACGCAAGCCATGAAGCAGAAGTCCGGACTTTGTCCAACATGACGGAGAGGCTTGGCATACCCAGACTTGGCCCAGTCTCCAACTCATTTGTTGGAAACCTATGGCAGGAGGAACGCAGGCATAGAAAGCAATAGAAAGGCAGCAGACTCGGCTCAGCAAGGCGCACAGAGTGTAGCACTACGATTGAAGCTTGAGCACAGTATTGAAGGGGTGTTAAAAGGCAACTTTAATGTTGGCTGATAATCGAAGGTAGATATCATGCCCAACCCACAGGGAGACGCTTTACACGAGATGGCCGGAAGTAATTCGCATTCGAAATTGCGTTGAGCGCAAGGCTGTGCCATTCTGAGACAACCAAGGCAAGCAATGAAGAGGAAGCAGATCCGGACAAGCACAATTGCATCCCTACTGGAGCCGGTGCAGGAGTCTTTTGCCCAATCAGCGTATGCATCACTTTGTTCCTTTGTACTTGCTAGGTGAACAACCTTCAGTCTGGAACCCATAAGTTCACATGTGTTTTTCTCACTGGATGTGCTGCAGCATCCAGACTCTGTTTGGTCATGGTGTGCAGCACATGGAAGCTGGACTGTTGAAATTGTGAACGCCTAAGGGATCCACCGCTTGCATTTGACATGGCAAGACGCAGTTCGCGCGAAGCCGTGCATTCAGAGAGAGCGCAGCTGTTAACGGCACAAAGCGTTATTTTCCAGAAATGACATCGCGCCCGCCGCTGCTTTGGTCACACGTTTCCCTCTCGAATGGTGGCAGGGGTGGCCATGTAGTGAGGCCGGCGACGGCCGTGCGCCCGCGCTGCGCTGAGGACGTCCGGGCGCCTGGCTCAGGCGCCCGGCGCCGGCCACTGCTGCCAGGAGTGCCCCCAGCCGAGGCCGCGTCGGTCGCGTCCAAGAACAGCCAAGGAGGCAGTGGAGTTCCTGGAAGCGCTTCTGGGCAGCCTGCTGCCGGGCCTAAGCAGAGGAAGGAGCGCATGCGTGGAGACGATGGCGATGCCGAGGAAAGTGGAGATGACCCTTCGGAGCGCAGAACAAGAAAAGTGGCTGAGAGGCCTCGCGGCAGCTTTTGCGCCGGTCAAAAGATCGAAAAGCGGCGTGGGGGCCGCTCACCAGAAGCGGAAGAAAGCTGTTGAGGCACAGCTTGCCAACGCCGCTTGCTTGGGCGGGAAGGAAGACGGCGCGTGATTGGCTGCCTTGAGCCAAGACTCATCATGGCATGCGCCCAGCATGGTGGATTGCGGCTGGTGTGGGAGTTGTTGGATGAGGCGCTTGGTGAGCCGGAGGAAGACCTGTTTGAAATAGCCTCCCGGGCAATCCGTGCGCCGCCCAGGCAGCTGAGTTGGCTGCCGGGGCAGCGCCGGAGAGCCGATTCTGACTCCACCAAACATTTAATTGCGCGTGGGCAGAAGATGCTAGATCGCCGCAAATTCTCACGCCATGAGGGGCCGCATGTCGTCAGCGCAGTCGGACGCTATGTAGCCTTGGGGCAGGGCAGTGAGGCACCGCCTTTGGAAGGCGCGTGAGAAGAAGGAGGGTTCATGGCCTGCGCCGGTCCAACCTTGTCTACGAGGAGGCTGGCCGCGTGAAAGTGAGGCCTGCAAGATCAGAGAGAAAGAGGAGCTTTGATGAAGTCCTGGCGGATGAGCAAAGGCCCGGAGCGCATATTGCTAACCTGGCACCATAGAAGGTGAAGGAGAGGAAGCCTGCTTGGATTGCAAAAAGGATGAAAGTCTTCCAGCAGAAGTTGAGTCGAGCCATCGTGGGAAATCCCCGCGCAATGATCTGAAAAGGGCGTGTTCCGCGAGCTGGCAAGCGAAAGGGGGCCGGGATAAAGAGAGCAGCGTGGCCCAGTGCTACTCAGGGCCTCAGTGAACCTGAAAACCTGCAGCTCCTTAATTTTGGTGGCTGGCATGAAGTTCTGATCTGGAAAACAACTTGACCGTGGGCAGGCTCTGGGGTTGTGTAGGCGGGGTCAACATTGCTGCGCTACTGACGGGGCAAGACCCCACCCTTCACGGAGATGCCCGTCCGAGGTGAGAATGTTGCGCTGCGCAGGCAATGACATAGAAGGAATTGTTTTCTGCATTCACGGCACCGTTCCCTGAGACGAGTCTGCCAGTCGCGGGATCTCCGCAGTCCCTTGGCAATATTGGCAAGTCAGCAGCAGCGGCGAACAAGAAGAAGCAATGTCTATTTATTTCATTTAATGCGCGAAAAGGGCCAGAGCGAAAGAGGCTGGCGAATACTGTCCGAAGAAAAGCAAGACACCGGAGAGAGAAGGATGAAAACTGAAACCTGAGGATGTGAGCGCAGCCTTACCGAAATGAGGGGGGAGGAGGGGGAGCATTTGAAGCAGGCGCTTCAGCAAGAAGAAGACTGCGTAGTGCTGTTTTCAGTGGCAAAGCGCAGGGCCCTAACCCTGGCGGAGGTTGAGGTGCAATGGAGACCCAAGGGCGTGGCGTCGCTGTCAACTGGCAGGATCACAAAGACCATTTGTCGCGAAGAGGCAGACAACGTCGCCAAAGACGGACGACGTGTCTAGAGGACAAATTGCTTAGGGAGTTGCGGCTGAGCTTCTATGAGTAGGAGAGGGGGCGAAGAAAGACGCAAGCGGCCGCGCGTCCGGGATTGCTGAGCTGCCCAGCTGTTGGGGGAGAAGTTGCAGAGCGCCGTGCAGGAGAGTTGTTTGAAGAGCCGGAGCAGGAGAACTTCAATGTTGAAGGCCGGAGCCCCGGTGCAGAGAAGAAGGTCTTCGTGTATTTGCGCACGCGGCCGACATTTATGGACGTCTCGGCGAAAGATTGTCCTGGATTGCTCGGGCCAAGTGAGCTGGCATGGTGGCAGAGCACGTTCGACTGCGGGGGCCGGACAAAGTCGGGGTGACGAGGAACTCGGCGGCTTGCCTTGGACCTTTAGGCCTTGAGCGGCGCAGATGGTTTCTGGAACAAGGAGATTATAACGTTCAAAGCGCTGAGGAGAGCCCCGCAGGCTTGGGCCATCTTGGGCCGTCGCACAGGAAGCCCAGATCGAACGCAAAGGAAGCGGACAAGGAAAGGAGAAAGGGCAGGCAGGAGTCGGCTGCGGGACTTAGAGGAAGAGCGGCTGCCCACGATCGAGAGCCCAGAGCAGCAAGAAAACGCAGAAGGCAAGGAACAAGACGAGAGGAGTTCGAGCTCATCGCGCGAGCTCAGGACCATGGCCTGCGCGACAGGAGAACTGCTGCCAGAAGCAGAGTGCCAGGAGGCTTGGACAGAAAGAATTTGCAGATATTCTTCCAAGAGCCTGAGCAGAGGAGAGCCAGGAGATCAGCAGCCAAGTGGACGGTGTCATGGACGATCTTCACGTGGACACGCTGCGCGTCCCCCTCTGCGAGAGGAATCGAGGAGGAAGACAGGCGCGAGCCTGTTTTTCTCGACGGTTCGAGGAATCCAGAGTCTCAGAGATTCGACAGGTTTTGGAGTTGGCCATCTGCAGCGAGAGGGGTGGGGTTGAGCCACGCCTGGCGAGCGGCGCCGCTGCAGACGCGTGAAGGGGGCTGAAGACGCACGGAGCAGGCGACGGAGCTATGTCGGCCGACTCGCTTGGTCGGAACATGTCGGATTATGTCGAAAGCTGCGGCAGAAGCTGCGACGGCAAGTGTGAACGCACAGTCAACCTCGGCCAGCGCGAAACGAAATGGTATGCGGAGGTTTACATTACCTGACGCAAAACGCGAAGGTGTGAAGTCTTCTTGGCGCAGGCTGACCTGGATCCAGAGAAGTGGTTGAAGAGTTTGAGCCAGAGGACGAAGGGTGTGAGGGGTCATGCCAGATGTCCGAAGCTTGGAGCCAGGAAAGGAAGGTGAAGACGCGCCCCCCCCTAATGAGGAAGAGACGGAGAAGATCAAGAAGAGTCAGAAGCAAAGTTCATCCAGGTTGCGGCCCGTGTCCAGTGTCCTTGCGCAGGACAAGGACGCCCAACCATGTGGCTCGGAGTTCATGACCCACTGGTTTGCCCCGTTTGGGGATAATGCAGAGGTGGCCATGGATCAAAGAGACAAGTTCGCGAAGGAGTTTATGCTGGCCCTTAAGAAGTGCCCGATCCACTCCAAAATGGTAGGTGCCTATGCAACCCTAGCAGAGCCCCTTCGATAAGCAGCCTGCCATGCCCTGGGCCCTGGGCCCTGCTCATAAGTAGGAAGCGGACCCTGCGGCGCGCCGGTGTGGAGAAGGGTATCCTCAGCCAACGCTCTGGTCTGCGAACTTTCCGGATTGCCCCATGACCATGTCAGCGACAAGACCATGCTGGGGCAGGCGCGCAGCAAGCAGCGACGTGGAAGTCAGACCTGCAGCGGGGAGACACTCTTGCGCCAGGCTGCGCAGCTCAAGCTGGAGCAGGCCTCACCCGAACACCCGGAGGGCTGTAGGATAGCCGCAGATGTTCAAGAATCAAGAGTCTGACAGAAGAAAGACCGACGACAGGTCTGGCGAGGCGCAGCCACGGTCCTAGCGCGGGAGGCCGAGGAAGGGTTCTTCAGAGTCATCAGCAATGCGGGCTTGGCGGAGGAAGCTGGCGACATGGTTGGCCCTGGAAGTGCTGCCTAAGGACGCGGCGTTGATGCCGAAGAAGGAGAAGGAGAAGGAGAAGGAGAAGGAGAAGGACAAGGACAAGGACAAGGACAAGGACAAGGACAAGGACAAGGACAAGGACAAGGACAAGGACAAGGACAAGGACAAGGACAAGGACAAGGAGAAGGAGAAGGAGAAGGAGAAGGAGAAGGAGAAGGAGAAGGAGAAGGAGAAGGAGAAAGAGAAGGAGAAGGAGAAAGAGCAGCAGAAAGAGAAGGAGAAGGATAAGGAGAAAGAGAAGGAGAAGGAGAAGGAGAAGGAGAAGGGGAAAGAGACGGAGAAGGAGAAAGGAGAAGGAGAAGGAGAAGGAGAAGGAGAAGGAGAAAGCGAAGGAGAAAGAGGAGGAGAAGAGAAGGAGAAGGAGAAGGAGAAAGAGAAGGAGAAAGAGAAGGAGAAGGAGAAGGAAGGAGAAAGAGAAGGAGAAGGAGAAGGTGAAGGAGAAGGAGAAGGAGAAGGAGAAGGAGAAGGAGAAAGAGAAGGAGAAGGAGAAGGTGAAGGAGAAGGAGAAGGAGAAGGAGAAGGAGAAGGAGAAGGTGAAGGAGAAGGAGAAGGAGAAGGAGAAGGTGAAAGAGAAGGAGAAGGAGAAAGAGAAGGAGAAGGAGAAAGAGAAGCAGAAAGAGAAGGAGAAGGATAAGGAGAAAGAGAAGGAGAAGGAGAAGGAGAAGGAGAAGGAGAAGGAGAAAGAGAAGGAGAAGGAGAAGAAGAAGGAGAAAGAGAAGGAGAAAGGGGAGGAGAAGGAGAAGGAGAAGGAGGAAGAGAAGGAGAACGAGGGGTGCAACTTCAAGGCGGCGCAGAGGACGATAAGGGGCTTAAGTTAAGGAGATTGGGAAACGTCGCGCGACATCCTTCTCTGAAAGAGATTTCGGGGAATGAGATTTCGCGCGAATCAGGAGGAAGATGATGAGGATGGTCAGCGGTCACAGCTACAGCAGGGGCGCCCCCTCAGTTGGAAATTGAACACCGCGGTTCGTCCTTGCACGAACCACCGGCCTGGGAAGATCATAGTCATCCAAGGAGTGCAAAATGCTCCTAGGTAAGTGGCGCAGAACTTCAAGGTGTTTCACCGGCTCGCAACGCACAATGTTGGAGCACATGTGCAAGACGAGTGCTCGCGCAACGGCTAGGCGGACCTGAGCAAGGCCAAAAAGTTGCTCACGGAGATGAAGCATAGCGGCACCAGAAGCAGCTTCGCTGATGTTGGTGGCAGACTACTAGCTCTAGTATTGGCTTCTGCGGGACGCGGCGCAGAGCCGTGATGGCGGAGCACCTGTCTACAGACGCGCTGCTGGTGACGGATTCCAGAGTCTTTACGACCACGTGTTGAAGGCGGGGCACTTGACGCAGGACCGCCGCACAGCGTTGTACCGCGAATCCGCTGGACGGCAGTACACTGATAGACCAAGGATGACCAAGGGGATGAAGACGAAGACAGAGCAGCTTAGGGAGACCGGGCGCACGGCAGTGCCGGCAGTGACAAGGTCATGGAGTCATGGAGACACACCAAGCTGGGCCGAGGCGGGCGGCGAAGCGCGAACAGAAGAGTCTGATGCAACGCTCTTGTTCCCTGCCGTGAACGTGCAAGGGATCCACCGCTTGCATCAGACATGGCAACACACAGCTCACATTGGTCTAATTAGAAGCCGAACCTGTTATTCGCACGCCGGGCGTTGCATTACCCTTTCCCTTTATTTCCCTCTTGCGTGGTGTTGGGCGCTTGCAGACTCAAAAACCTCCGTCTCCCGGGAGCAGGGCCTGGCTGCAGCGAGTGAAACATTACCCTTGCACTAGTGCCTGAATTGGTTTGCAGGATCAGACTGCTCCACAAGGAGATGATGCCCAAGCTGTCAGAGACATCAGAAATGCGAAATGGTACGAGCCATACAAGCTGGGAGTGTTCAACATGGTGAAGGCAGCAAGCCGTGGTGACTCCAAAGGACAGATTTCCGTGCTTTTGAGGTAATTATGTCACTTTCAGCCCAGTTTTGAAGGGTTGAGACCTTGGCAAGCTGCCTCGATCTGCTGTCCACGCTTGCAGGAAAAATACATTTGGTTCAGATCAAACCCAGCCTAGACAATGAGTATACCATGGCCGAATGGCCAGCGATTCAGCAGGATTTGTCCACAGCTCAGTGGGGCGCGGCATAGATGTCAGAACGGATGGAGAATCCAGGTCAGCCATTAAAAACAGTTGTAACCAGACTTGAGAGAATGGACGTAAACACAGGAAGAGCTGTATATAGGCGTATGTAGCTAGCCATGTCGCAACGAACCCAACCCACCGAGTAGCAAGATAATGTTTGAACACAATGGTACCAATGACTCCCCGTCTACACTCAATGTAGGACAGGGCAGGGCCTTAGCGAAAGCCACGGCGTGTGCCACTTCTGAGGGGCTCAGCATACCAACGGCAGAAAGCTCCCTTCTACGACGGAACGACAGAGTTGATCAGCTGGAAACGCATCCTCTGTCAACAATGGGACCTGCAGGATCTCCGCCGCCGCCTTAGCACGCCTTGGCGTTTGCTTGGCCAGAGGCAGCTGATGCCAAAAGTTTTCAGGTTCCAGCATGTTGGTGAAATTTTGGGTTGATTGTCACAGGAGGAACCCCTCGCAATCGCAATGTGAGCACCCTGTATTCACATGTGTTCACTGGGGCCGTTAAGCAATGGCAGGTGGAATCCAGCGCCCAGCTTGTCAATCTGGGCTTTTCTTATTAGGCGATGCCAGGGCGTTGGGTGTTTGCGGACCCTGCTGTTTTGTGCGCCCTGTTCCATGCGCTAAGAGCCATTGACAGATCTAAGTTGGTCTGAGCGTCGTTGGACTGAGGCAGATTCCTCGAGGACTACACACGACAACACATGCACGTCATCATCACTTCCGTGTCATCAGGCCATATGAAAGAAGTGGAGCAGGTCGTCGACGATGTCATCCGTGACCCTGACGGCCGTGGCCGCGCCGCAATCCTAGATTTGCAAGATGCATGGCCCACTTTTGACACAAGAGCTTGCGGTCATGGAGCCTTGTCAGTCTTGAATCCCTCGAACTCACAAGGTGCACACAGCTTTTCTGCAGAGAGGTTGCGACTACAGTGATGTGCGTCGCAAGAAGGCAGATGGATAGTGTGGCCGCCTTTTTAACATCCCGGAGCCACACGGTTGGGTGCCATTCAGGTGTGCCTTCTGGCTTATCCGGGAAACCAGTTGGAGAGCCTGCGCGTTGGAACCCTCCACCCTGCAGAACCTCATTGGGTTTGATGTGGGTTTGACAATGTTTGACATCAACTTGATCCTCTTTTTGTTTTCGCAGAACCTTTTCTGCTTGCATTCGGCTTTGCAGAACTCGTTGGATTGTTTGCAGCCCACTTCCATTGGTTCGCAGAGGGGTGTTTCCAAGCGCACGTCCTGCCTCTCCCAAGTCGTTTAAATTGAAGCAGCAGCACGCGCGCCGCGACGCCGTGGAAAACAGCGTGGTGTTGAACTTGTTGGTTGCTATCAATGGCAACACTGTGGATCCGTATTTGGAAGACAACGGATTGAGATGCTTGAGTTAATTGCAAAAAAGCTTTGGAGACATGAGCAGCTAGCACAGAAACATGAAGCAGCTTGGCCAAGGCAACTTTATTGTATTGATTTCTTGATAGACATACATGTTGACCCAGCGTCCTTAGTAGTATTGGATCCGCCATTTGCTATCGTTTCTGATGCCAAGCTGTCAGTTCTTGTGGTCCAGCAGGCAGTTGAGCCCCCATGCTAACAGGATGCGGCGCGGCGCGTCTCAATCGCTGTGCGCCCGATTCGTTATGCTTGTCACAAGTGTGTCGAGTAACCCCTCATTGCAAAGTTGAGCCAGTCAATCCAGATGAAGGAGAACGGGTTTGGCAAGCTGCAACCGTTTCATTTCATAATCCGCGGCCAGGGGCCCTGTTGCGGATTAGCTGATTTGCGGCCTCGCGTGGACTTGTGAAGGGTTCGTAGCTTCTCGCTGAATGCAGAGCCCTGAATCCCCTCCCTGCCATTTGGCTGCCATGGTGCGGGTTCCAAGCTGGTGTGGGAGCTGCACCGCCTCGAAAGGCGGGGTTGTGGGGGGTGGCAGGGGTTGGAAGCGGGAAGCATGGCAGAGGTCTCGCACCATGGCAGCGGTCTCATCCTGATCTAGGCCCTAGGCGCCCGGACTTGAGAATCGCTGCCTCCAGATATGTACACAGCACACACATGTGATTGTATTCTTCTGTCTCGGCCTTTGCGCCGATCTGTATGGTCTTAATACTGCCCCTGCGCCATGAGCAGACACACCCAACTTGCAAGAACCTTGAAGCCATGCTGGCTTCCCTCCCTGCAGCCGTTCGGTCACGCCTCCTGTTGGAGCAGAGCCCAGGCTGCACGGGGCTGTGTGAGGGCCTGATTCATTACCACGACCCCAGCGCACCCGGAAAAAATCCACAGGAGGACAACTATTTTATGGTTCTCTGAAGCTGGCGGCCGGGCTGACAGCATGTGGGAAGCGCTGCGGGAGCCAACCTTCATGATTGAATGCGGAGGCCCTAGATAGAGCAGCTTGGCAGACAACTCAGCTGCGTTTGCGGGAGTTGGACACTTGCACGACCTAAGGATCCATGTCCCGAAACCTGGGAGGCATCCATGGAAAGGGCCCAGGAATTGTCCAACCCTCCGCTCTCCCAGCCACAAACTTAAAGACCTGAAACTTCCATCGCAGGCGCAGTTTGGTCTGCGCCCGCTTCTGCGCCAGGCAGACGACCAGCCAGAAGCTCCGAATCCAGCCAGCCAGGACAAAGAACAGTCGTTTCAGACACTGTCCCCGCTCAGAAGCTACCCGCCCTGTCAGGTCACCCACCGCCAACGTGCTAAGAACACCTGACGCGAGAACACCCGCCACAGCAGAGCGCCCACCACTACAGTGTTAATAACATTGAACAACCCTTGACAGGGAAACACCCGCCCCTGCAAAATACAATCACCAGATGTTGAGAACTTTTGCCAACGGACCATGCACCCTGGCTCAACTCCCGTCATCTCCCCTGCCAAATGTTGAGAACATGCCAAGGGGTCAGCCCCCCGCTGAACAGCCACCACCAGATGTTGAGATCATTTGCCACGGACCATTCGCCCTGGCAAAACACCCGCTGCCAAATGTTGGGAGCATTTGCCAAGAGACCACTTACACCTGCCACGGCAATGCAAACACCAGAGAACACCAGAGAACACCCACCACCAAGCGGCGATAGTTTCTGAGCCAGATGTTGTTCGGCTTGCTGTTTGGCTGGCACATGCTGCCTGGGTGGATTCGGCCTGGCTGGCTGGCTGCCTGGTGGGTGGATGTTGGGAAGAGTTGTGGCATGTCGCGGCTGGCTGCAGATGCCAAAATAGCAGCCCAAGTTGCGCCTTTCCTCGCCGATGCTGAGTTCTCACGCCAGTGGGTTGGCATGTTTCTTTTGGTGGCAGACAAATACGAGGTTTAGACGCGTGGCTTTGTCAGCTTTTTCTCGAAAAGCCAGTCCTACTGTAGGCGCTAAGATGGCAAGACGCTCGGGCCATCATGGTGCCCCAACCAGGCTACAACCTGTGGGATTGCTGCTTTTGGAGGAATCGTATGTCGCGTGTTGTTGCCATTGGAGAGGTGCCGGGCGTTATTTTGTCAAGTTTGGAGGCCAACAACACCCAGGCAACAGGAATGGTCACGTGTTGGCTGCGTCTTGCTCCGGGGGTGCCGGGTGCCGACGCTTCTGAACCTGAGGCAAACCTGAACAAACTTGAGCTCAACCCGCTCAGAAGGCGGTCCTCCGGTTCCGCGAGTCGATGTTTGGGTTCCGCCAGAGGATCAAAGGCCAGGATGGGACGTGGTGGGGACCTGCAAAAGGGAAGCCTTGGCAAAATATTGAAAGGGAGGCGCATTCGGGCTTTGGTCCCGGAGGCCGGAATGGGGGGGTGATGCTTGTCACAGATGCTCGCGCCAGAGACTTGTTTACCCTCCATCTCCACCTCAGGATAAAGATGGCTGTGAGACTGGTGCAAAGATGGGGTGCTGCGTGTTGCCCACGGGGCACTGAGGGCAGGGGGCTCAAGGCCAAAGTGTCACCAGCTTCAGGCGCATGGCCTGAAATGTCACGGGCCGCTGCAAGATGCTCGAAGGCTGACTTGCCCAGTGTACAGTTTCTCGGGTGATTACTTCTCAGTGCGGCCGGGTCCTGATCAAGTCGCAATCAAGTGGGCGAGCAGCAAGCCCTCAGTCTCAGCATTTCTTAGCCTTTTGCCTTTTTGATCACAAGGCTCGAATCCTAATCGGACCAGCAAGGTATGGTGAGGCATGCTGCCTTCATCAATCAGGCTCTCTGTGCATTAACTTAATACGACTTCATTCACACCCAGGCACGGCGCCGGTGACGTCAGAGAGAAGGATGGTCTTCAGGAGATGTTTGGGCAGAGGATGACTAGAATGAGCGCAGAGTGCATGCTTATCTTGGCAACACAGGGAATTCTTGTGATACGTATGTTTTGCTGCATTTGGTTGCGCATGCTGCGTGGAGAGTTTGGTTTGCGCGGCCGAGCAGTGCACATTCTGGCTCGGACTGGTGTAGCATTCAATGCCACTAGTACTCATGGCGGGGTTCCATCGCGTGGATACAAACTCTCCGGAGGCAGGGCACTGAGTTTGCTAGCTTGGATGACTACCACTAAGTTTACTGAACGCCGATAGCGCTGCAATGCGTCTCAACTTCAGCGGCTGCCTAGAATCAGGAACCTCGCTCGTCAAGTACTAGCGCTTAGTTCTGCTGACCAAGTGATTAGGGGAGCTTTTGCATCGAACCCTGCGCCCCAAATAACACCTGCCAACGCCCTAGACCCTAAACCTAAAACCGCTCCTACTTCCTAAACCGCACCTAAACCCTAAACTTAGAATCCATGAAACCCTAAGCTAAACTTAAGCCCTAAACTGAAACCTATGGAACCCTGAACCAAAGCTAAACCCTAAGCCTCAAACACACGACCTAAACCCAAATCCCATGAAACCCTGAACCAAACCCAAGATCACAAACCCGCTGCTTGCAATATGCGCATGGTACAGGCATTTGACAATGTCGTGCCTCATTTTGGGTGTCATTCACGTACCATGCGGCTGAAGGCTTCGAAGAAGTCGTGCCTTTTCCCAAAACGCATGGGAACTCAATGGCTTTGGGGAATCTGGTTATGTCTCTGAATTCCATGGGCTGGGCATATCAGGGCACACGCCGTGAACAAGTAGTTTTTTGCGTTTAGGTGAAGTTTCATGTTGCAGGGATTCACTGTACCAGGGCAAATCTTATCCGAGCACGCTGCACGGCGGATCAGATATGGAGCCAAGAAGGCTGCCACTTCGCTACTGAACTGAAGCATTCGGCTGGAAGCCTGGGCCAGCAAACAACGGCAATGCCTCAGCGAGTCCAATGTGACTGCCGGCAAAGCCACAGGGGTTGTGGGTATAGAGAGCGTTAAGGGCTAAATTGGAGCCCAAATTAACGACACGAGATGCGTGTTGAGCTGACTAAAACTCAAACAAAAGCTCAGATGTTCTTGCAGAACAGGGTTCACCAGTAACTGTTTGATCGAAGTTCTAGGACTCGCGCGCCTACCTGGCTACGATCCATTGGGCGCACAACACCAACACGGCAAAAGCAAGAGCGCGCGCACTACGCGCAACCGGCGCATAAATAGTCGCTGTAAAATCGCGTTGCTCCGGAAAAACCATATCCTGCAGACTTGCAGACCCAATCTTTCTGAGATCGCGGTTTGGCCTGGCTTGGCCCTCAGGAAACTGCAGGGACCTGAGGGCAGAACGCCGGGAGCCGTGCCTCGGGGCAGAAGCCACAGCCCCTTCGACTCCAGGCGGCCCTTTGGCGTCAGCAGAACAAAGTCACGCGCGTTAAATGTTGGTGGTTCTGAATGCGCTTTTTGGGGGGAATTCGACATGCAAAGCCTTGAGTTTCCTTCGCAGGTTTGCGGGTTTGCCTAACAACTAGCACCACTTTGCGCACGGGCAATGCCACCAGGGCAAGCGGAATTGCAGAACTTGTGGCGGAGTTGGCGGCTAATCCCTTCCCCCTAATAATAAAACGCCCCCCCCCCCTA